TGGTGCATTGCATAAACCAAATGCCATAACCAGATACTCATAGGTGGCACACCGGGTCTTAAAGGCTGTCTTGTGCATATCCTCCTCAACAATTTCAATCTGATGATACCCGGATTTCAGATCAATTTTGCTGAAGACCTTACAACCTTGCACCATATCTAAAAGATCATTACTCCTAGGCAAGGGCTCTAATCTCTTCCTAGCGATCTTATTCATGCTGGTGTACTCAATGCACATTTCGAGTTCACCATTCCCCTTTGGAACAAAGAGGGAAGGTGCCCCATACTCAAAAGAGTTAGGCTTTTTCCATCCCTTCTCAATCAAGGACTGTTTCCTCAGCTCATCTAACTCAACATGAGAGATCCTCTACATTCTGCCCTTTGGAGCGATGTTTGATCTGCCTATGGACAAGTCCAGTAGGCTCTTGAGCCAGGTCGACAAAGTCATCAATCACTTTCTGAATGATAGGGTCACATTGAGGAGAGGATGTACCTGTTTGTGAGATATAAGCAACAACCAAAAGTTGTAAAACTCTCTTGCCTTCAGCAATAGCAACTTGTCTTACGATGATAGGCAGTAGCTAAGACCCATGGTCTCAACTCACCCTGTGCATTCTTCAATTGAACACTGGGCAGAGCTCAATCAATTGAAGTATTAGTGGCTTTAAGCCACTTATAAAACTCGGGACCATGTCAAAAGGAAGGCTAGGAAACACATAAAAATTCAGACTCTGTCTAACGTCCCCCTTAGTATGAAAGGTGACTAGAACACCTTTGATCACCTTTTTTACTATGACTAACTCGGAGTGACTAATCTGAATCTCCACTGGGTGCTTTAAGTTTGAGACTCTGGGACCTGGATGGAGTTTCTGAACTCCATTGGGTGAAATAAAGTTCCTGGTGGCTCCACAATCCAACAGGGCTTTCAGTCTGGTGCTGTTGATGAGCGCTTTGAGGAAAATCAGTTCTGATTTCACCTTCCTTTTGTCTTTCAACTCGAGGAATAGGGAACATAGCTTATCACCCATGTCCTGAGACAGGGGCTCATCTGCAAAGGGCTCAATGTATGAGTACATTGAGTCTGTTGCAGCCTCACTGGGGTCTGGCACACAGGCTGATTCATCTGCAGAAGGAGATGAATTCAGTTCATCAGGGGTGGTTGCAACTTCTGCTGTCCTGTCTATTTTTTTTAACTGTTGCCCCAGGTTGGGCAATCTTCACATAATGATTGCCCTCACATCTTAGGCAAACACCCTGATCCTTTCTCTTCTGCCAAACAGTTTCCTGGATTCTCATATCTCTCCAGGGAAAAGAGGCAGGATCCATTGGGTTAGCTGGGCATCTGGCGAACTTGGGTAAGTTAGGCTATTGTGGACCACTGGGGCTTTTGCCTGGCCCCTTCTTGGGATTGGAGGTCCTTTGACCCTGGAATTTTGTGCCCCCTTTTGAGAAGGCCATCAATGTCTGGGTAATTGCAAGAGTAATTTGCTCTAGTGAGAATCCTGCATCTTGGCCAGCTGGGGGAGTAGAATCCCCCTGACCAGGACGTGCAGAATCATCATCATATTCCATACCATACATGCCTCTCTTTCCCTTCCTCCTACTCTGAGAAGAGGAGCTGCTTCCCTTCTGGGAAGTGGACTGGATTTGAAGTGTAGCCTCCATATACAGTGCTGCTCTGCCAGAGGCCCTCCAGTCTTTGTGGCCTGCAGTGTGTAGGGCAATGGTCTACTTCTTTGGAGTTGCCCTGACACACCAAGTTAGTTTGTCAGCCTCGTACATCTCCAGGCCAGGTGTGGAGGTAAGGCGCTCGAAAGCTGCATAGAGTTTGGTCAGGTGTTTGTGCCATTTGCATCGGCCAATTCTGACCAAACTCATCTGCAGCCTTTTGGGTCTTCTCCTTGTCAACAAAACACATCTCTGGTCAGTCTTTGTGGCCTCCATGGGGTCGAGAATTTGTCACAGCGTGACAGTACCCCCCACGGGGTCGAAATCTTAACAGCATGACAGCAACCCCCCACGGGGTGGACAATTTTGACAGCATGACGGCACCCCCCATGGGGTCGAACAATTACGAAAAGATTTACATTCGATCCACCAGAGAACCCAACATTCGAACACGGGCTAATACTCGAATAGTTTCGAAATTTCGACAGCACGATTGGACCCCCAATGGGGTCAAATGGTAGCCAAAAAAAGAGTATATCTGGCAATCAACCCAACAATCAATCGATCAATAAAAAGTTAAAACAATCAATGGACGAAATCAAACAATCGATCAATCAGTCAAATCGGTCCATCAATCAATCAAGAAAATCTTGATTGATTGATGGACCGATTTGATTGACTGATCGATTGTTTGATTTTGTTGATTCATTGTTCTTATTGATTGGCTGGTTTATGTGCTTAAGATACACAAGACGTGAGAAACGACAAAAGCATGTCCACAATTCGACCAAATGTCAAAAGATGCAAACAAAAATTGAACAAAACGTCAGACAAACTCTACGTATCAAATATGGAGGGAAGAAAAGAAGGAACAAGGTTCAAGTTCCGTTCAACCATTCACACAAAGAGAGAGAGAGAGAGAGAGAGAG